TGTATGGAATATTTATTTCCATTTCTGCAGTTTTAATAGAAGATGTTAGCTGAAGTAAAATATAATAATATAAGAAGAATTTTAAAAAAACGACAAATTAAGAAATTGTTATAATTTCATTAAAATATTTCTTTAATTTCAAGAAGAATTTGGAAACATTTTTCTACAAATGATTTAATACTTTGTCGGTGAAATATCTTGAATCAAACTGTAAGAGTCATTATTAACGGTGATTGTAATATTGATGATTTATGTTCTGATCGTTGCATAGAATATTTATTTCCATTTCTGCAGTTTTAATAGAAGATATTAGTTGAAGTGAAGTAAATAATATAAAAAGAATTTTAAAAAAACGACAAATTAAAAAATTGTTATAATTTCATTAAAATATTTCTTTAATTTTAAGAAGAATTTAGAAACATTTTTCTACAAATGATTTAATACTTTATCGGTGAAATATCTTGAATCAAACTGTAAGAGTCATTATTAATGGTGATTGTAATATTGATCATTTATGTTCTGATCGTTGTATAGAATATTTATTTCCATTTCTGCAGTTTTAATAGAAGATATTAGTTGAAGTGAAGTAAATAATATAAAAAGAATTTTAAAAAAGCGACAAATTAAAAAAATTTTATAATTTCATTAAAATATTTCTTTAATTACAAGAAGAATTTGGAAAAAATTTTCCTTAAATGAATTTATACTTTGTCGCCAGAATATTTTGAACCAAAATGCTAGATTAGAAGAGTCATTATTAATCGCGATCGTAATATTGATTATTAATGTTCTGATTGGTATATGGAATATTAATTCCGATCTCTGTAGTTTTATAAAAAGTTGTCAGTTTAAGTAAAGTAAATAATAAAAAAATTAAAAAATAAATAATAAAAAGTAAATAACAAAGAAAAAAATTTAAATTATTTACACAAAAAGATCATAAATAGTTTGTTTTTAATGATAATTAAATAGTTAAGAACAAACAAGACTTAACATGATTATATAATTCGATAAGAGAAATATTAATATTACATTCTCAGAAAAAAAAACCTTTATCTCAGTTGGTTATAAGAAAATACACTTTTGATTGTAAAGTAATTGATTTTGATTAATAGTATATTAAATATTTCCACTTTCAGGAAATTTGAATATATTTATTGTAATTCGTTCCTGTTTGGGAAAACATATTTTGTACATTATTTACTCGGAAAAAAAAATCTGTCTCTAGATGCATTTTTCACTCAAGTCACGCTTTTTGTAACAAATTCTAGCAATATTGTAGCAAGCAAAATTTATCTTTGCAAACGTGACGTCATTTATTACGTCACAACGTAACTTACTGACCTACTTTTCAATAAAATAGGCTTACATTATTACTTGCACATATCACAACATGAATGCTACCCTTTAACAGCAAAAATTAGGTACACAAGCGCAGTAAAATATCGCATAAGCTCTCAAATATGCTTACCCAAATGTAAAGTGAATCCCATGAATGTAAAGGCAACGATAGTCAGGAATTTCTCCATGTTTTCCCGATTTATCCTGGAAGTGCTTTGGATTCTGATATTTATGTAAAGGAATTATGGATGAATAAAATATTGAGATGCTTCATTTTGAATGGAAGCATGCTTGCGGGAAAATATTTGGGGAATTTAAAAAGAAGATTCTTTACCTAAAATGGGATAAGAAATCCCGCAAATGCACCGGACTATGTTTCATCACAAGCATGCGCGGTGCATCGTTGACGTCATTAGAAGGGAAATCATTGATTTTTTGGAGTTCTTGGATTTGTAACTCCTTAAATATTTCATTAATTGTGAGGAAAATTATGTACTCACATGATTTCTTCAATCGAAAATTCGCTTAGGCAATATCTGTAGTAAAACAAAATCAAGCATCTTTTTTCCTTTGCAAAAGGAACTCATGAAAAAGTTATCATTTCTACTTGAAAATTATAGAACATGATTTAATTGTAATATAGCATTAAAATATCCAAAAAGTATCTAAATTTGTAAAAAAAAGTTCTTTTTGGTTTTTACAAGGTGTTGTTAAAAATGATTTAAATAATTTTAATTAGGTTTGTAGGAAATAATTTAGGGTGACCTGGGGTAATTCCTGATCAAAAAACGCAAACATCTATTTTGTGAAAAAAAAACTATTCAAAATAGAATTTTAATATTTACTGGAAGTTTGAGGCTATATAAGATGAGTCTTATGCCAACTTCTTTTGTTTGAAAATCTAAATAGAATTTAAAAGATTTTAAATTTCTAGTGATCAGGAATTACCCCTGGTTTTGATCATTTCTGGGGTAATTACTGATCACCAGTTTTTATTGTAAAGGGGCTGTTTGAAAATAATTATATAATGGTAATTAACAAATAAGACATCAAGATAAAAAAAATAAACCAAAAAGATATGCTTAAGCAGCTAATAAAACGATTTATTTAAAAGCAGGAAGAACGATTAACGCTGTAAATTTTCAAAAATCTTTGCATCGTGCCATACATTTTAGGCAATCAGGCAACTCATTGTCATGTTCTTCTGAAATATAAGAGAGTTCCCACATGGGTTACTATTGCTGGATATTTTAACTTCATTAAGGGAAAGTGTAAAGTTAAGTAAACAACATAATGCCAACAGCTCTGGCAGCAACTCTCACACTGAAATTTTAATTTTCAATCATTCACTAATTTTGTTTTCTAAAAGATTAGTATCCTTTTTAGGCTTATAATTTCTCACCATATTTATACTAGGCTAATTTATAAACTTAAAAATCATTCTAACAATTATACTAGGCTAATTTATAAACTTTAAATTTATTCTAACGATGTACACACATAAAATTAAGATTGCATAAGCAACAACAGAGTAAATCATAAGTTTTATCACGTGTCCTCACCAGTCCATGATATGGGACTAGTGTTAGGAAGAAAAAAAATTTCTTATAAAAAAAGAGATTGTTGAAAAACTCGTTATCAAAATTAGTTTATCTATCATTCAAGGCAAAAAGAAACGTTTATCAAATTTCATTAAAAAAAAGTACGGTATGTGTACCAAATAACGATTAATATTTTTGGCCTATTTTTTAAAACTGTCCCCTTTTCTCTACTCTTCAGTGTTACTTGGAAATTTCATTTGCAAATAGTAATTTGTAGACTTTTTCTGCATACCCTGTTATAAATTTTAGTGTTAGGAGATATAACAGTTTTAATTTCATCTTATTGACGTAAACTTGTATGATAGAATGTATTTAAAAAAGACAAAAAGAAAGTTTAGAAATTGAAAAAAAAAAAATTAAGGCTAAAAAAAATAGACAGTGTGCAGCGGAAGTTTTTTCTTTTCCTTTTTAGTTAAATTTTGAGCAACATATTTTTGGTTGATCTCTATTGATAAGCGCTCCTTAATAAACATCATTAAAATTAAAAAGCAAAATAGCTCTACATTTTTATGTTACCCTCGTAAATTAACAGGAACATCTAAAACAAAAATGCTGAACAGTTCACATGAATCTTTCGTTTACAGTCTTACTTATAGCTCAGTTCGTTTCAGCTTTTTGTTGCCAAAGTGAGAAGAGAAATTTCACCTGTTTTTGTGACAGTTTATCAGTGTTCCATAAATACAGATCCCAGAACAGGCAAACTAATCGAAAGTCTTATTGTTTGTAGTTGCAATTAGAACTCGGGTTCAGTCATTTAGTGAAATATGGCTCTGAAATGATCGAACCAGACAAAATCAATTATTCTTCGAAAATAACTTACCATACAGCTAGAAAAATTATATCTCCAACTGAGGGATCAATGAGTTGTAGAATTGCCTGAGGGATTTTTCAGCATTTCTTTGACGCAGACAGTTTCACGTTATATGTATATTAGAGGATAAAATTATTCAATATTTATATTTATCGATAACAATCAAAATAAACTTTAACAATGACCTTTAGAAGGAAATAAACGCTAGTATAGCAGGGAACAGAGTGATCTTATTTCTTCAACGTAAAATTTTCTCTATTAGAATAAGGTACTGTAAATTACGCTGCTCTTGAAATCTTATATGCATGGCTCAGTGAAGGAGAAAATTTGATTCGTGATGAGTACGATTTTCTTAAGTAAATTCTGCGCTAAACAGTTAAAGCAATTTTCTTTTTAAGAAGGCTAAAGACGAATTTTATCTCTTTTCGTTCTTGAGACATTGGATCACAAAACCAAAGTTTTCCATCATAAAAAATTTTGCAAAAGACAGATAACAAATTTCTCAATAAGGCATTTAAATGTTGATGCATGCTCGAGTAATATTTTGAAAGATACGAGGTTGATGTTCAACGAAAATAAAGATGAATTGTTTTGCTACGAATTTATTAAATCTGCTAAGTTTGGGAACCCAGACGCTCAAAATAAATTAATAAAAACTTAAAAAAAGGAAATTAAAAAAAAATGGAAAAAAGAATCAATTCAAATACCTGTATCTCATACAATTTGTTTTAATTTTTTTTTCTTAGAAGCATTTTTAAATTTTCTTGAAAAAAGAAAATGTTCTATTTTAATTTTTTTAAATCGTTTTTATTTTTAACATTAATATTTTGAAGTGATTTTAGAAAATCAAGATAAAATTCAAACTAATTAATTAAATTAATAATAAATAATTAAATTAATAATAAATAATTAAATTAATAATAAATAACTAAATCGAAAATTGGAAAAAATTAAAAATTAACAAATATAAAAAAAAATATTTAAAAAACAAGAAAGTGTATGTTTTAGGTTGGAATCAGGAAAGTTACATACCCAGGGGTTATAAAGTTTTTGAAAATATTTTACTTTAAACAGCTTAAGTATTTAAAAGATTAAAGTGCTGTTCTGAAAAGAGCTAAAACAAGAAAACGAGAATAGAGCTATTAACATTAAAACTTAGTAGATATTTTATTTCGCTAACTACTTCTTTCAAGAAAAACACTTTTGTTTTTTTCGTCAAATTCGGTGCTTTCTTCAACGTTGGTAGTCGTAAACTTAGAATTGGATCTACTGTTTAACGACGGTTATAAAATAAAATATAAATATAGTATTATTATAAACATTACGTCATATTCTGAAAATTACTTTATTTCATGCTTGCCTCTTTAAATTTTTCTTAATTTTAGATATGCAATGTTTACCCTATATTAAGGAGAATGTTGTGATGTTTCCCGTATTTTGAGAAATGCTTCTAAAAAAATGTCCTACAGTATTAACATTGACAATTTTTTTATAATCTCAAATTTTAAATTTTTCGAAAAAGTAGTCCCATGTTTCAAAAAGTGGTTATTGTTAAAAATGCTAGAACTGGTCACTGGTCGGTAGCAAAATTTCATTATTTTCATCTCACGGGAAGTATTGACGCACGAGAAGACTTTCAATGAGTTAAACCGATTTGATAACACTGGGAAATTTCCATCCCTGTAGCGTAATATTGATTTAATACTGATATTTTTTTATTTCAAATCTGCAATTGAATTCTCTCCATCAGATACAGTTTTTATGCAATTCAATAATAAGGTTCGAACAAGGTTTTTTTGAAACTCACTCGAGTGACTACTATCCGTCCCCACTTCATTGGAACGTAGGGCGTCGTGGAAAGAAGGTAATAATACATTTCAGTTAATGATGCGACATGTTAAGGTCATATGTTTTTTTGTCCTTACTGTTATTTTTAAAGGAGTACACGAAAGCCGTGTGGGCTCAGAAAATATAGCTTTTGCCTCCCAATGAGGTGAACCGGGTTCGAATCCCAGCGATGGCTGGTCAATGCGAATCTGCACCCGGCTCGCATTGTTCATAGTTTTATAAATTCGATTTATAAGGGGTTTATACACAACTACTTCTAAATAATTCAAAAGTTTATTACTTTGTCACAATTGAACCGTTCTTCGAGAAAAGAGTTCGAGCTTTCAAATCATCAACCAAAAGGTTAGCTGATCTCAATGTGTCTACTCAAAGATCAAAAAGTGCGTGATGAATGGGATGTGGGCACCTTTACGGCCCAGGTGCCCAATAACCAAATCATGCTAGGATAATTAAGCGGTGTTTAGCCTTTTACTAATTTAGCAAAATCAACCGAAAATCTGAACATTTTAGTTGGTAGTTTTCCATCTATTTTTAAAAATATTTGACGAATCCGGAGCAGTTGGCGTCTCCGAATTCATTAAAATAACAAAAAAAATGAGCCTGGCTAATACGTAGAATCTCTTTTAGATCTAACTTTTTTTAAATGCAGTTTATTTTTATTTATTTATTTATTATTTTTACTTTCATTTTCAGATAATTAGCTCAAGGAAGAATTCCACAAGTTTGAGTTTCTTCACTTAAACGGCAAACTCAGGTGGAATAGCTAAGCAACCTTACCCATCATGCTCTGCTTTTTTTTTCTTTTTTCAGGAGAGCAAAACAAATGATCTGACAAGATGAGGTCAATCTGAAGATGAGAGCAAAGAAAAGAAAAAGCCACGCCTGTTTTAATCTTCCAAGAACAATGAGATATTTTTCTTCACCCGAAGAGAAAGTTATTCTTCCTGTTCTATATAATTTACTCAACTATCTAGATTGAAAGATATACTTAGGGGAAATTCAACGAAAGTGGAAGGAAGAGAAAAAATGCGAAAAATAGACAATGAAGCATTAAGATACCACGTTTGATATTAATTCTTCAGTCAAACAATTTTAATTTATTTTCTTCAAAT